AGTCACGTTGTCAGGCTAGGATGGGGATTAAATGAACACAAAATGACATTTTCCCTCTCTTAATGTCCAAATTTTAAAATATCACTTTTTCCCATTATATATCTAATATGTTTTTATTTCAGAAAAAATAGAAATACAAAAAGCATAAAAACAGAAGTTGCTTGCACTTTAATATTAAAACAATTCTGAAATCCATTAAATACCAAGTTCCTAGCTATATTTGTGATGCAGAAATATGCTTATTAATGAAAATCACTTTATTCACAAAAAATCATTAACTAAAAAATAAATAATTCTGCAATAAACATCAGTAATTATATTTCTACAAAGTTGCATGAGAATTTCTGTTAGATAAAATCCAAAAAGCAGACTTGCTGGGTCAGAAGATATGCACACATTACAATCGGAGTTTTCTGATTATCCTAACACTTGAATATAGAAGAGTTACCTATTCCCTATCTTCACCAGCGCTGGGTATTAAGAAATATTGTATTCCATCCCCTAAATGACACTGGTTGGCTAGGAACTTTTCTATTTCTCACTTTTTCATGGTTGCTATATACGCTTATAAATTCATTTTGTTTGGTGAAAATGTATATACAAAAAAAAAAAAAAAGGCTTCCTATCCTGTGCCTAGCCCTCCAAATAAAAGCTTTATCAAGAGTAAGTCACTCTCCTTCAGAGTCCTGAGCAACTTGTGATTCTATATATCCAATCTTTAATTCTCATAAAAGAGAAAGGCACATGATCTAAAATTTCATTTAAGATCAGTAGTAATCGGGAAGACATTATTCTATTATCTGTTGATGGCATTTATTTTTCTTTAAAGAGCAAAAATTAAATTAAATGAAAACTGCAAGCTTCAAATTCTGACTGGCTATTGTTTACTATGTTCCACAGTGGGTAGGTAAAAGGGAAAGAAAGATACTGACCTTTAAGAATCTTGAACTCTAAGACAATATCTGATTAGAACAATCTAAACAAAGTATACGTAAGCCCCAAGATTTATACCAACTGCTCAAGATACTTTTTCAACTAAATTAAAAAAGCTCCTCATTTTGGAGATGAGGAGACTATGTTAGAAGCAACATGGCATCATTTAAACCAAGACATGTTCACTACAAATTGTGGTTATAACTAGTCCTCTACAGAGCAATAATGGTAATTATGATGATGTTTTTATTCCGGAATCCTAACCTAAAATTGTATAAAAGGAAAAGAATGTAGGCGTTCTCTAAAGCATTCTGCCATGAAGAGACTGCTTGAACACTATGTGCACTAATATCTATAGGTTCCAGAATGGCTCCTCTGGCCTTTTTAAAAAGCATATTCAAGGTTAAGCAATGAGGTAGACAGGATCTTCACCAGCGATGCTCTGAAAAAGGCCATGTCTACCAGCATGGTTATAACAGTTTCTTTACCACTACTCATACATAACAAGACAGCTCCTAGAGCAAATCATCATTTCAAAAGCCCTCACTGTTAAGACAAATTGAGGCCAATAATCAAGAAGTACCTAAGTAAATGCTTTTAAGACACACTGAAGCATAACTTCAAAGGCTGTGATCTAGATCCCAAGGTTAGCCAGCAGGAAAGGATTGGCTCTTTTTAAATATGACTAAGTAGCTGCACCAGGGCTGGGAAGAGGAATTAATCATTATACAAACAATGCAGTAATTAGCAGCTTCTAAAAAGCCAGGCTTTGTGCATTCAATATGTGGAAAAACTGACAATGGAACATATATAAGACACATCCATAAACTTAGGCACCCAGTCAAGTAAATACCTCCCAGTTGCTACTATATATCTAGCATTATAACATCATCTTTTAGTATAATCGTATAGTTTATACACTTAACTCAGTTTTTAATTTAGTTCTGCCCATTTGACTTGAGCATCTAAACAGAAAAATTATGTGATAAAATAGAAAATCAAAGAGCCTACCTATTCGACAAAGTACTTAACAGCTTTCTTTCTCTTGACGCTATTAACACTTACAGTGATGTATACACCATAAAACTGTATGTCTGCAGCCAGGCAGTCTGGGTTCAATTTCTGAATCTGCCATTTAAAAGCTGTAAGTCTGACAAGTTACTTAACCTTTTTGTTCTTCAGTCTCCTCATCTGTAAAATGCAGGTTATAACAAGACCTACTTCATAAAGTCATTGTGAGAATAAGATACACATAAAGCAACTGGAATAGCACCTATCCTAAAGGTTCAATAAATGTTAGAATTTTTAAGATCCGAGTTCAATAAACATGGGCTATATATAAGACGAATAAAGTACTACATACACATATAACAAGTATAGCAGCTGGCATAACAATAAATTTCACAGTACTTTATAGTGTATGCAGCATATAATCTATTACTAATGACCTAAGGCACTGTGACTCTCCTCTTTCCCCGCCAAAAAATGTTCCAAAGGCATTCTCGTTGCTAAAGTCCTATCTACCTCACAAATAAGACGGTGGTGAACCACTAACTCTACCCAGAACAGTCCCAGGCCTGTTCGCTCTCTTCCAGCAGAATCAGAAGAAACTAAGAGTTGCCCCCCTGCCACTTTGAAAAACTCATAGCATCCAGTGAGTATTATAGCTAAGAAAAAAAAACCTATGTTCCATATAGCACAAGGAAATTCTGGGCACTTGATAATGTCCTTGAGAATAAAAAGCCAGTATTCACCAAATTACCCCTCTTTGCGGCCAAAGAACAATGGGGCTTCAGTAATTTTCTCCTGTTATAGCAGAAATAGATAGGGCATGATTTCAACATTAGCAAAATGTCAAAATCACTCCAACGTGCACTTGTTCTACATCAGCACGAAGGCTGATTAGCACGGCTCCATGCTTTGGCCAGAGACTGCCCCTAACCCCATTCAGCTATTTAAAAATGAGAGCCACAGATGAGAATATGTGCCTCCACACTACTCCCTCTCAACCTGGGGCGGGGAGGGAGGAGGGAAGCCCCAAATGTCTAAGGCATCTCTTCATCATAATTCAAAAGAATTGCCACATGGTAAACTCTTTGAATTTACAAGCTAGGAACTTTGTTTTACACTTATATCAAGCACTTAGTAAACTACCTAATCTAGAATATACTCAAGAAATGTGTTCAACAGTGACTGATCATGTATACTATGTAATTTCTGTGTTCAACATAGGGGTGCCTTGATAATTATATTTCAATATATTCTCTAAGTCTTTACAGAAGATGAACAACACATCTCTAGTTTTCCATTCCAAGCAATCTGTTAAAGAAAACCAACATTACTTGTAAACAGATTCCAAGCTATCAGGAGGGTAAATTAAAAATATACTTTCTTTTTTTTTTTGATACATTTTAAAAACCATTTGTCAGATTCTCGTTCTGGCAAGATTCTTAGAACTGGCCACATAACTTCTCGAGCTTAAAATGAATCTTTAGTATATTCTAGCTTCTGCCAATTAAATAATAAATGTATACGGCTCTTTAACATTTATTAGTTACATATATCTTTAAGAAAATTATAAAATGTTTTCATGTTCCATCTCTTTGAGCAAAAATTTTCTTCCGTAATTCCTTAAATACCCCTATTGTAGATAAAATGACCATTCCCCAATTATCTGGCCTGATTATCTTTTCCAGCAAAGGACCTAATTCGCACAGAATATACTAATTTCTAGCCAATCTAAACATAGAGTCCCCTAAAAAAAAAAAAAAAAAAAAAAAGAACAAAATAAAGCAATGATATGATATAAACCATTGAGGGGAATCAAGACAGTTTTGAAAATATCTGGAGAAAAAGGAACTACAGTTACCTCTGTCATACATTTCCTGCCTTAGAAAATCTCTATGTCTACTTTGAAAAGAGAAGTATGCACAAAGGTGCTTGGAGTTAGAGTAGAGGTGGAGGGCCTGGACATACGAGGACCAAATCAGAGCTTTAGGAAGTCTCCAAACCTGTCTGAGCGCAAAATGGCAGACTTCGATTTCAATACTAACACTGGGGGCTAAAGAAAAGGGGCAATTATTGAAATAAAACAGTTAATATATTTTATTTCCATATAGTAACAGTTTTAAAGATAATTATGACTAGTGGAGAGCTGAATAAAAGAAATAAAGACTGTGAACAAGAGTTGAAAGAATTTCTTTAACCTGAGGAGACAAAAGCACTGCATTCTCTCACATCCATCGCTGTGGCCACGTGCTGCTGCTCCCTGCACATATCTATGCTCACCTGTTTCCTCTAACTGAAACATGCCCCACAGTCTCTCAAAGGCTGAGTAAATGCCAACTCATTCTGAAGTTTTCCTGACTCTGAGATCAGTAACTGTCTGTCTTTTGAGTTCAAACATTTTGTTACACCTCCAAGATGCACCTATTACAGAAGGCACTGAGAAACAGTTTAACTGTGATTATGCTTAAATTTTACCGCTACCAGCAGATCATAAAAGACAACCATCATTCCTCCACAACTCCCCAAACTACAAAACAGGCACTCAATTTTTTCACCTTTACATCTCATTATTGCACAGAGCAGATAAGGGAGTAATAAGGGAGTAATAAAAAAATGTAAAGTTTTCATCACAGAAGTCCTCAAAAGAAAAGGCCATATATTCTAGACAGTCAAGAGTCACCTTCCTGGGAACCAGATCTTGGGTCCTAGTTCTTGGATTCTAATGACTCTAATGTTCTAGGAATCAGGGAAGACCAGCGTTCCCCAAATTGGTCTGCTGTACCCTGTTCTGCAGGATGCTATAGATACCCAGATAAACTAGGAAAGTCTCTTTTAAAATAAAGCTAAAATGATTACTGCAGAACATTTTTGAGGCTTTAATATGTTAATACACACCATGAAATTCCAAGATAAGATTGCATTACGAAGCAGTTTAGTAAATTAATTTAAGCAAGATCATGACGAGAGTTTGGAAAATGCCTCAAAGAAGGTTGTTTTGGGTTTTTTTTAATTGTTCAATATTACTGAGTACTTCAAACCAACTTCTAGAAAGTTCTTACCTGATATGTGTTGCAGGCAGAGATTCATATTGACGTGACAAAAAGAGTTCCCTATGTTTCAACTGATGTTTCTGTTTATCAGTCAAGTCGGCCTCAACAGTAGTTTCAGATTCTTCCTCAATTTCTTCTACACAAATAAAATTCAAAGAGTTCATTATTAAAAGCGCATTATCTATCTGGATATTAAGATAGAGCAAATCAACCCTTCATTTAATATTTTCTTCATACTAATTCATTTTAAATTTATATATTTAGCTTCTCATTTAAATTACATCCATAAAATTAAGTTACCAGGTCTTAAAGAAAGAGGAAGACCAGTTTAAAAATGGCAGATGAAACATATATATATATCTTCTCTTCCTCCATAAAACCACACAAAAGTGGCAATTAAAATGTATCAACATTTCAATGACAATAAAAAATGAAGCAATAATGGAAGATTTTCGACCCCTAAAAAAAAAAGTTTTAGCAGATGTGAAAAAAAAAAAAGTACATACTTAGCCAAGATAAGGCAGTGACAATCTGTATGCATACAGAAGGACGAAATGGAGAAGACAGGCACAGGACGTGACTGACTTATCCCAAAGATACCAAGTACTGTGAGAAAGAGGAGTGGGGTGAAAGCTAAAAAAAAACAAAACAAAAGGAAAGAAAGGGCTGAAAGTACAACATCCAGAAAGAAATAACAGAAAAAACAGATTTCTTTACTTCTTTTTGGAGGTGAGGGAAGACCTGTCATAGAAACGATTCAATAAAATTTCCTCTTACTGAGCGAGATGAGTATCCAGATTGAATTGTCAGCATAATTAAGTGCTAACATGAGAAGATCACAAAAATTTACAGGAAGGAAACGAAGATCACATACAAAAGATTTAGACTAGGGTGGAATCACATGTGAATAGCGACACTATGCTTTGATGGTAGAGCAATGCCATCCAAGAGAAAAAATGGTGTTCAACCTGTAATTGCATAGTAAACTATTTATCAAGTCTGAAAATAGAGTAAGGACAAACTTTCATTCACTTAACCAAGAGTTATTAGGTATTTAAACAGGCACTATTCAAGGTGTTGAAGACAAGCAGTGAACAAAACAGTTATTGCCTTCAGGTAGCAGGGTTAGAAGGAAGGGATGGAAGAAATAGGAAATGTTAAAAAAAAAAAAAAAAAAAGCAAAACACTATATTTAATACTGTTTAAAGACAAAAATGATCAAATTTCATTTACAGCTTCAATTGCAAATCACTTTAGATACAAAATTTTTGCACCTCTCAGGGCTCACAGATCCTCTGCAGCCTTACCTGAACCAGACTGTGTGGGTATGGGCATAGGTGGGAGCACTGAGATGCAAGGGTGAAACAGCTATAAGGTGTGTGCGGGGCTGTGGGGCTGGGACGGATGGCTCCTCAAACAGGAAGTAGAGCCCAAGTTCAAGCCTTTGAAATCTTTTTTTTTTTAATGCCAGTTTATTTTTTTCATACTATATTTACATAATTTTTAACATTTTATTTTTTTGAAATCTTAATTTGAGGACACTTATTGGCAACACACACACACACACACGCACACACACACACACACACACACACACACACACACACTAACCACCACCACCATCACCAATTTCTGTTCCTTGCAATTCCTGTAAGTACTTATTTATGAACCAAGGACCACAAAAGAGATTTTAACACATACAGCCCCCTAGTTGTAGCAGTTCTTTTGAATTGCATGAGGATCATGAATGGGCTAAATGTCAGATATTTTCCACTTTCAAATTTTGAAAACTCTGAATGGAAAATGAACCTAGAAAAAGACTGACCTGACTCAAAAAAAGAACAAAGTGATTTTAAAATCTTTGAATGTTCAAAAAAAAAAAAACTTTCAATGTTCTTTTTAATGAACTACTCAAAAGAAAGACAGCACTAAAAGAACCATTTACTTGCAAGTCTAATAACATTTCACCAATGGAGATCAATGAAATTAATTGTTGCACTGGCACTATTAGCCCCAGCAAATATCACATAAAAAAAGTTTACTCTTTGCCTAAACAGGATTTGATAAATTGTTGTTCTGTAAAATAGGAGTCCCCAACCCCTGGGCCACGGACCAGCACCAGTCTATGGCCTGTTAGGAACAGGGTCACACAGCAGGAGATGAGCAGCAGATGTGAGAGCGAAGCTTCATCTGTACTTGCAGTTGCTCCCCAGCACTAGCATCACTGTCTTAGCTCCACCTCAGATCATCAGTTATTAGATTCTCACAGGAGCACCAGTCCTTTGGTGCCAAAAAGGTTGGTGACCGCTGCTGTAAAACATAGCTAACTGAATTCTAATGTGTACCCTAATATGTAAGCATATAGAGCGAAAACAGCAAAGAGCTCTACAAATAATAACAGCAGCAACTCTTATTTTCTTATACAACCTCTTGGTACAGGGCGAAAAGGACTAAACTCTGACATCCGACCTAACCAAAGACAGAAATCACAACAGCATCTGAAACTCATTTTTAAAAACTTATTAGTTAAATTTCATTTACATATTTCTATAAATTTACTGTGGCTTCTGGACAAGAATGACTCCCATGCCATTAATACTCTAAAAACATTAAACCACCACAATGGCATAAATCTGCATTTGGACAATGAAAAATTTAAGAGACCAAATATAACTATCATCATCAAAAATCATGTAAATGGTAATGTTTATAATTTTCTAAAACCATTTTACCAAGCTTGATGGAATATCAAATTTTCTAAAAGTTATTAAGTAGAAGTCCCATACTATACACAATGACAGTAGAGACTGACATCAAATTATTTGCTTAAGTTTCATTACAGTTAGAAAAATTTCAGTATACATAGTTTATTAGCAATAAGGCTCTTGGGGCATGGAGGAGAGAAAGACTACAGAAGGAAGCTGTACAAAGGGATTGTATGAAGTTTTAAGGAGCAATATAGATATCACTGTACTTAATACTGATATCTTCTGTTTTAGCTGTATGGGCCAAGTAATGCGTGACCCAGCAAGGCTCCACAAATTGCAAGGTTGTAGCCAGCAGGATGAGAAAGAAGCCATGGCCAAAAAGCTCAGTAAGGCTAGTTACACATGCAGGCTGAGAGGAGGTGGGATAACTCTAGTAAAAATAATGTCTAAGAAGCAAGGGTCAGAGAGGGAAAGCAAACTAGCTGAGTAGTCCAGAGCACCAGAGCATGCAGCTATGGGATATGGGAGATCAGGCTCGGCAACAGGTTACAATTAGGAACTCAGACAAGGCTTTAGAGATTGGGTAGATGACATGTATTCAAGACCACAGCAGGCGAATGATCAAAGTAGGTACCTGAACAACAAGGGAAGAGATGTAGGGAAAGAAGAGCCATTACTGATTCTAGGTACTTTCCTTGAAACTGGGTGTTTTGGAACAGATCAGAATTATAATTCCTACACATTAGTTGGGAGGGATGGAATGGGGAGCGGGCAGGAGGGGAGTTCTCCAGAGGTTATTCTCAAGCTTCCTTATGTCTTTTTTAACAAAATATCAGCCCACAATGATATTAATTAGCTGGTACAGGCGGTACAGAAAAGCAGATGGTTAACAATTTGTCTATAGATGCATTTAACAAGTACCCAAATGTTTAAAGGCATATTATTGGACTGAAGATAGCTTAGTATTGATGCAACTCAAGCCTGCCTGGTAAGAAAAAAAAATCCTCAAAAAAGGAATAAGCAAGTTGAATAAAATTAGGATTTTTATGACAATTGAGATTTCAGGAAACTATCCGAATAAAGAGAAGCAATTTGGCAGTCTAGAGGCAAATGATCAATAAACAAAGATCAATTATATTTCTATCACTAGCAATGAACAATCCAAAACCGAAATTAAGAAAATCTCATTTATGACAGCATCAAAAGGAAAAAAAATTAAGAATATATTTAACAAAAGACAAAACTTGTACACTAAAAACTACAAAACGTCATTGAAAGAAATTAAAGAAGACCCAAATAAATGGAAAACTATGTTCACAGATTGGAAGACTTACTAAATTGATCTACAGATTCAATGCAATCCCTACCAAAATTCTAACTGCCTTTGTTGCAAACACTGACAGACTAATCCTAAAGTTCCTATGGACATACAAGTGACCCAGAATAGCCAAAAAATTTTTGAAAAGAACAAATTTAAGAAGACTCACTTCCTCTTAAATTTCAAAGCTTACCTGAAAGCTAGAATAAGCAAAACTTTAGACATATAGATCAATGGAATATAACCGAGAGTCCAGATAAGCCCATGCATTTATGATTAACTGATTTTGGACAGGGGTGCCAACACAATTCAATGAGGGAGTGAAGAGTTTTTACGAATGGTACTGACAACTGGAAAGAATGAAGCTGGATCCTAACACTATATATAAAAATTAATTCAAATGCATCAAAGGCCTAAATATAAGAGCTAAAACTATAAAACTCTTATAATAAATAAAACACAGGTATAAATTTTCATGACCTTAGACTAGACAATGGTTTCTTCACTGTGGTACACTAAAGCAGCAGGCCCCAACATTTTTAGCAACAGGGATCAGTGGTTCTATGAGAAACTAATGCCTGAATATCTGAGGTGGGGCTGAGGCAGTGATGCTAGCTAGCACTGGGGAGTAGCTGCAAACACAGATGAAGCTTCACTCGCTCGCCTGCCGCTCACCTCCTGCATTGCGACCCGTTTCCTAACAGGTTATGGACCGGTACTGGTCCGCAGCCCAGGGGTTGGGGACTCCTGTTCTAAGGCATAAACAACCAAAGAAAAAAGAGATAAGTTGGAATATTAAAAATTTTGTGCTTAAAAGAACACTTATCAAGAAAGCAAACAGACAACCCACTAAATGGGAGAAAATATTTATAGATCATGTATCTGATAAGAGTCTAGTATCCAGAATAGAGAACTCGTAACTCAAGAATAAAATGACAACCCAATTAAATAATGTGCAAAAGATGTGGAGACATTTCTCCAAGATAAGCAAATGGCCAATAAATACGTAAAAGGACATTCAACATCATTAGTCACTAGGAAATACAAATCAAAACTACAATGAGGTATTTCACACCAACTAAAATGACTATAATAAAAAAGATAACAAAT